AACTTTGTCTTCCCCTCCGTAGCTTTTGTCCCAAATAGACAAATCATTGACAATGTGATCCTTGGGCATGAAGTCATTCATTTTTTAAACAGTCATATAACTGGTCATAATTATTATATGGCTCTAAAACTGGACATGGAAAAGGCATTTAATATAGTGGAGAAGAAAAGTGTGAGTTAAATAATGTTGAAACTTGGGTTTTGCTCTATCTTTGTAAACATGATTATTTCTTGCATTTCCTCTGCTTTATTCTCATTTAATGTCAATGGAGAAGTTTGTGGCTATGTTACTCCCACTAGAGGCATAAGACAAGGGGACCCACTGTCTCCTTATGTCTTCATCCTTGTTTTTGATATCTTCTCTCACCTGATTAAACATGAAACCCAAAAGGTAGACTCCAAATGCATTCAACTCTCTGGTAATGGTCTAAAGCTTTTTCAACTGTTCTTTGCAGATGACACATTGATCTTTGCCAAAGTTGAACCCTCACAAGCTCAACCCTTTCTTAGTCTTAGCGGCCTACCAAAAACTGACAGGCCAGAAAGTCCACCTCTGAAAATCCTCCATTTTTTCTGTAGAAATACCTCTCCTTTACTGAAATCTTCAATTTACAATACACTGCTGGGAATTACCCCTCAAAATTCCTCTAGATATTTTAGCCTTCCACTAGGAATTGAGAGTAACAAAGTTGAAACATTCTTCTTTATTTGCGTTGTTGGTGAAAATAAAATTTTGAATTGAAAAAACAAATTTCTCTCTGCAGCTGGAAGAGAAGTTCTTGTCAAAGCAGTGCTTAATTTTCTTCCAGTTTATTCTATGTCTTGTTTTCTTATCCCTGAAGTAGTGTGTGCAAAAACTGCAAGACTTTTTGCTTCTTTTTGGCGGAACACATGTAATTCTGAGGGCAAAAAACTCCATTGGAAAGCTTGGAACCGAATGACTTTGCCTAAAGACAAAGGAGGAATTGAGTTCCATGACATCCAGTTGATGAATAATGCCTTAATCACTAAACAACTATGGGGGATCCTCACTCAACAAAATATGTTAATCAGCAAATGCTTACAGGACAAATACTACTCAAAGGACAGTTTTTTCACAGTCAAGAACAAACAAACAGGTTCTTGGCTATGGCATAGCTGGCTCAAAGTTAAAGACTCCTTCAACATGGGACTGAGATATGAGGTGAAAGATGAGGCCACAATCAAAATCTATAAGCACCCTTGGATCCTTGAGATACCTGGGTTCAAACCTCAGAGCAGGCCCCACTCAAACTCTGACATTCTCAAGGTGAGTGATCTGACAGATGATACTAGAAGGCACTAGGATGAAGATTTTCCAAGACATTTTCACTGAAAAAGAACAAACTGCAATTCATAATCAAAAGCCTCAACAGTGGAGAAGTGGACGGACTATGTTGGCACTATGGCAAACAAGGGAAGCATTCAGTGGCAGCTTCTTATAACTACTTGGTTAGTGAGAAATGGAAACATCTGGATATAGCAGAGCCAAGTAAAGGACACTCAGAGACAAATGAGATGAGGAGAAGACATTGGAAGCTGAGAATCAAAGGGAAAATAAAGCACTTCCTTTCGAAGTGTCTGAACAATATCCTGCTAGTCAACACTTTCTTAGCTAAGAGAGTTGTGCATATTGACACCACGTGCAGAGTATGCGGAAAAGCTTCTGAAACTATCCACCATCTATTCTTCACATGCCCCAAATCCTCAAGGATTTGGGAACTGGAACCAGTTAAATGAGATGGACTAGTGCAACAATCATATAGCTTCTCTCGCTGGTGGACAAAATTCAGTTCTACCCCTCGGTCTACAAATAATGAAGCCAGGATTCAACTCATAGCTTGCTTACTATGGTGGGTTTTGAAAGCGAGGAATCCGTGGATATTTTAAAACATATGGAGATCAAAGAATGATGTGGTAAGTGTAGCTCTGGAGGAATGGATAGAATTTAACAAAGGGCGGTGACTTCTGATTATGTTCTGTTATTTCTTGTTTTGTTGGTGATGTAGTTTAGTTTGATTAGTCTGTAGTTTCAGGTCAGTGTGACCTTCTTTTTTTTAGTGTTCTTAGGTTCCTGAATTTGAGATAGAATGTTGTATGTTAGTTTAACTAGGCTAGGGCGTTGGCCAGTGGTTTAGTTCATTTTGCTGGGTGTTTTGTGCAGTTAGTAACATATCCTTGGACACTAAGCTTTGCCTTAGCTAAGGATTATAGACTTATCGGTAGTTCATTTTACTCTTTTTGGGGCATGTTAGTGTTCATCTCTTACAACCGTCCAATTGTGTATTGGGCTACTCTCTCCCCCCC